AAAAGCAGTTAGCACTATGAGCAAAGATGGTGGTTCCAATGGAAACAGCAGCAGGAAAACAGTCAGCTCATCCAGTCATCTACACTCCATTTAATTACTTTCTTTCTCAAAAATAGGATTTCTCATTCTCAGTATTCTTTTCCTATTTAAATTCCACTTTCCACTCCCTGCTTTCCTACTTTCCTACATACGCATTCATAAGCCCATCATATATATTGTTATACAAGCATGTGTTCACTGAGCTACTGTGGACCTCGCAGTTCTGAGGAACCACCCTGAAGGAAGTATATCTTTGTTTCCTAAAAGCCCTGGATACAAGACACAAACGTATTACAGAAAAAAATACCTAACTAGGGTCTGTATTTTATCTATTTCCCTACTGATTTTAGTACACACTGTATGGTATTAACAACACAAATTTAGACTAGAAACTGAAAAATCGGGGTGAAACCATAAACGTGAGAGTGCAAGAGCTGAGCAGAACCACGAACAAGTGTACGGGGAGCCCTGAATGTATCAGCTTTCTTCTATAAAAATAAGTAAATTATTATTACTAACACAGAGCCTAACAGATAGAAATTAAAGCTAAGAATTCAGCTGAGTTCAAAAGTGAGCCTTCCGAAGAGAGAAGCAGAAACAAGAAGCTAACAAAAACGCTGGCACTAGCAGAGGCGCAGCACACACACGCACAGAAGGTCTGTGGCCTGTGCACCCATGCAAACCCAGACGCCCACTGAAACGCGAGAAAAATCTGCGTGAAGAAAAGCCAAAGGAGCAAGTCCAGCCAACACGCAGCGAGAACCGGAAGCAATGGAAAACACTTCCTGATCAGGCTCCTCTCTGGCTGCCTCTGCGGCAGAGGGGCCTCTCAGAGCGCCGCTGCCCGCTCTTGGCTTCCTCTAGGCCCAGCCTCAAGACGATCAGGCCTCAGCAGGGAGCGGGGGAAAGACAGGAAAAACCGTCCCATGGGCTCGGGCCAGCCCCTCGGCAAGGCGCCGCGGAGCCGGGCTGGAGAAGCAGCCCCACGTCCGCAGCAGTGAGCGGTCACAGATCAGTGAAAAGCGCCTGTTCCCAACCGCCGCCGCGCTCACCTCGCTCCAACCGCACCGGCTCGCTCAGCGCCGCCATCTTCTCTTCGCTGCGGGCCGAACGGGAAGTGACGCAACACTGCCGGAAATAGCGGGTAGCGGGAGCGCGGGGATGGTGTTGACAGCCAGGGAGGCGATGGCGGTGGTCACGACGGGCGGTTTTGTCGCGATCGCAGAGAGCGGCTTTTGCTCTCCGCGGTAGGAAACGGTGAGGTGCTCGCTTCTCCCCCGCTGGTGTAGCAGGACGTGAGTCCTGTGGGCTCAGCCGAAATTGTGTCAAAACCAGTGTAAAGTGCTCTCTGTATGGGGCTTTTTTCCCACCTCTTAACACGTCTAAGGACTTTTCTAAAAACGCCACAGAGGGTGTGCCTGTCTTTCTGCACACCTTGGGTGCAACTGGAGATGCCCTGGCAGTGTTCAGGGCCGGGTTGGACGGGGCTTGGAGCAACCTGGTCTAGTGGAAGCTGACCCTGCCCATGGCAGGGTGTGGAACTAGATGAGCTTTAAGGTCCCTTCCAACCCAAACCAGTCTGGGATTTTATGAAATGTTCTGCCTACGTGAAATGTGAAGCATGTATTTTACGTTGCTTGTTTGGCATCAGTTTAATGTATGTGTGGGACTAATGTATTGCATTTACTTTCTGTATTAAATTGATGTGTGTACAAGTATGATTTAGATTAGCTATTAGGAGGTTCTTCCCTGTGAGGGTGGTGAGGCCTTGGCACAGGTTGGCCAGGGAAGCTGTGGCTGCCCCATCCTTGGCAGTGTTCCAAGGCCGGGTTGGACGGTGCTTGGAGCAACCTGGTCCAGTGGAAGGTGTCCCTGCCCGTGGCAGGGGGTTGGAACTGGGTGAGCTTTAAGGTCCCTTCCAACCCAAACCAGTCTGGGATTCTGTGATGTACCTTTTTCTGGAAAAAAAAAGCAAGAGACTACTTCAGGCCATGTACTTATATATTCTTAATTTCTACTAAGGGTATAACTCTTCATGTTTGGCTTTGATTTTACCCACATTTTGTATTTATTTTTGCTTTGAAAGAAAATAGCTCTCAACAGGTCTAAAAGTGTCTGCTAACATGACAGTGATGTACTCTCTCCTCTCTGTGATGCATTTTAATGCCAGTTCCTCTCAGTTTGAAGGATGCAGCGTGTGCATTTTAATGAAAAGGTCATGTGAATGGTATTTTGCAGGTGAACAAAATTCAATCCTCACAGACTAGTCTCCAGCAAGCAAAAGTATTGTAGCAGCTGGAACCATAGAATGTTTCTGGAATAAAATCCAGATGCTTCTATCACAGTCATACACAAACTACCATTCTTGTCACGAGTGATTGAAGTTTTAAATAGCCTGCTCTGACTTTGGACAGATGAGCTTATGGAGAAAAATGAGTGTTCAGCAATATTTCATAAATCTTAAGGTTTTTCCAAAAGATGTGCAATAAGAATACATGTTGAAACATATCTTTCAAGTGGCATTATTCTGACTCCAGTGAAGACTAAAGATTCACAAGTTAAAGCAGCTGCTTTAACTTTCTTGTAGACCCAGTGAACTGGACAGTGACGTTATGAGAATAAGAAAATCTGAAAAGCACATTTTATGAAGTGCTTCCACTGTCTTCTTCATAGCGCTGTCCATCTTACACCACATTGTTTCAGGAATTTGTGCTGATTTATACCTGCAGGGAAAAAAAAACAACAACAGCACAATAAAGCTTGTGGTTTTAACTGTGATCTGTGAAGAATGTTGTATTAGTTACTTGCGTTTGTTTGTTCGTTGTTTTCAAAATAGACCTTACTTTCTATGATTTTATTTTATCTGAGAAAGCTAGATCTTTTTACACCAGAAGTTCTGTGGTCATCAGGAAAACTAGTGGGCATATAATCTTACAAAAGAACAGAAAAGAAGCAAAATGCCTGATTGTTCTGTTTGGCCTTTGGTTTTTTGTAACACCTATGGAACTAAACCAACTGGACCTGAGAGAAAGAAAACTTTGGCATAAAATGTGATATTGCTGTCTGGTTTAATAAAAGAGCTGAAAGTGGGCATGTATGCCTCTTGTGTGGCCTTCAGGAGGACCAAAGAACATCAGGTCTCATGTTGCAGTGGAAGAAGTGGAATGCCAGTGTTACACAACACAGGAAAGGAAAATAAGGCTACAGGTTATATATAAAAATGAAAAGCATGCATACCCATTTGTCTTTTCCTTTCTGAGGTAATGTTTAAGTGCACTGCTGTATTTTTGCAGGACTGCCTAATTTTTGCAGTGACGTCTATTAAGCTACAAAGCCAGGCGTTGCTGTGACAGAGGCGTTTTAGTGCAGTTTTTTGTCTTCAAAAATAAGAAAGGGAATGAGCTGCTGAGTCTATAGCATGCTGCATTTTCTCAAGAAAAAAAATCAAAGCATAGGTGGATACTGACAAGTGCCGTATTAATACGACAAACTGCTTGTGCCATCCTTGTCAGGAAATCCCTATCCTGGTAAGCATTAGGAGGAAAAACAGGTCCCAAAAGTGATTCCCAAAGAGTGTGGGTGCGCCTCCTGAATGACTAGGTAAATGTATTTGCACAATAGTGGCTGAGAAGCATGAAAGTTCTAAGCATTAGAATTCAATTGATGTGTTTTGCTAGCTATAATGAAATTATTAATTTAGACCCGTTTGTCTATGTCACTCAAGCTTGTGACATTTTTACCAGAATTACTTTAAATCTTCACTGATGAATTAGCTGAGGTGTTATCAGCTACACTTTAATGCCACATGAAATATTGGTGCAGTGTGCTGTAGTATATGTCAGTTGGACTTCTGGGAGCAAGAGCATCCTGCAGGTTTTTGTGTGTATGGTGAGTAATTAGAGTTACTGTGGAAGGATTATCAATAATCAACTGATATAGCCTATGTCTTCATTGGAAGATAGTTGCACTACCAGTCTAAGGGAAATGGAAATCAGTCTCTAGTGTGAGCTAACTTAAAATGAAAGCAGTTTATTTTAGATGAGAGGTCTTAGCGTGCAAGAAGTTAATTCATAACTAAGAGGATGAGCTTTATTCATAAATTAATTAATAAGGTCTTAATATTTTTATGGTAGTGTCTTACCAGGCAGCCAAACATGGGGCCCTTTAAATCTGGACATTAGACACAGCTGGAGAGAATGCAAATGTGGCAGGATATACTGTACAATTAGCTACGCAAAATGCAGGAAGAAGAGTGGTTTAAGAAACTTCATTCACTTTCTGCTCGGGTGCAAGGTTCGGGCTCAAGCTTCTCATGAGAAAGAGACATGGACTGAGGCTAGCTTTGTCTCTGTACAATTCTATCACAAAACTCTGTAAACTTATGGCTTAGTTTGTTGGAAAAATACTTTCCGTGTGTATGGATCTGTTTATATGTGTGTTCTTGTTCTAGCAGGACCAGTCCATAGTGGTCTTGTAGCTAGGTAGTATTTTCCTTCACATCCAGCTGACATGAATTTAATCACAAGGAGACTGGAAGATTTGCTGGATGCTACAGAAAAGTTAGAATGCAGTGTTCTAAAATTTCATCATCCCAATAACATCCTTACAAGTGTAAAGGTGCTAATTAGTGCATTATTTTACCAGATAGTACAAATCACAAACCCACAGCATTTATTTATGTATGTGTTTTAACATGCATATGGTCAGGAATTATTCCGATGTGCTTTTAACAATATTAGGCAAATTTTAAGTCCACACTGAAAGGGATTTTACTTAATTACCTAGCTAATGCTGTAGAATGTACATAGGCATCCAGTTACCTTTAAGGAGGAAATGGCAATCGTGTAACACGGTACACCAATATGCTGAAAAAAAAATTGACTAGTAATGGGTATCAGGACACAATGTATGCTCATAAAAATCACAGAGGGTTTTCTCATGTCCACGAAGAACAATGCCTGGGAAATCTGAAAGGCCAAATTAACCATGGTAGAACTTTTATTTATGATTCAGGGCAGAGAAGAGAGTGCCAATTCAATTTTTAGGTTATTAAGACATCTCATTGCCTTAAGGCTACCATGTTGGTAGAATTTTATTGCTTTAATACCTTTGAATTTAAGTACTTTAAATCTTTGACAGTTGCATTAGTATTTGCAATTCCAGCAATACTTTGATTCATTGGCCTAGTCCAGGGTGAGTTTTGTGCTCTGCCACTCACTGGTTGATTGTCATTGTCACTGTTCAGGCTTTTATACTAATTGAAAAACATGGTACCTTTTTGGTCATGCACATAACTAGCATTTTTTCTGGTTTCATATGACAGAAGAGAATTTTGCATTGTTACATGTTACAGAACATGCATTTTGATTAATCTCTCACACACTGGTTGATTAACATGTAGAAAGAGTCCAGCATTTTGGTATGTGCCACCTGATCTCCGTGCCAGTTATTTTTTCCACATAAAACTTGACTATGTGAGTTATCTCTGGATTTTTTTAGTCACTCCTAGTGAATGTATGAGCAGACATATACAAAGCACTGCCTGTTACTCAGAGTTTTTTTAAATCTTTTCATTGTCATCCCCCTGGCCTTTTCTATAGATGTAAATGCTGTTTACTGATGACAAGGCTGACAGAGGAAGCAAAGTCAAATTGAAAGTCAGTGATGCACCTAAATGCTAATTACAATTAATACTCGGAAATAATTAAATGCATCTGCCTTTCCCACCACCTCCCTTCCTCCTCCCTCCTCCCCCAAGGAAAATACTTGATCTTGCACATGCTCCTTTTTTCTAAAATACATAGTATCTGTTAACAGCCTCATACAGATGAGACAGACTCACCTTACTGCATGATGTAGTAAGCATACACTGTAGTACAGCTCCACAGGAAGCCCTTCACCATTAAGTTTTGAAGGACAGCAAGCTTCTGTTAGCAAAAGAGACTAGTATTATTATATATTAATAGTGATATTATATAGCGTAGTGTTCTATGCAGAGTCAAATCCTATTTTCGAACACTATTTTTACAGAATTTACATTAATATTGTCATAATACAATAATTAAGGAATTATTAATTAATAATTAATTTTCATCTCTAAGCACATTTTCCTTGGTACAGAATTGACGTCTTTCAGTGAATAAAATTGTGTTAATTGCTGAATTTCAGAAGAAACATGGGATGTTTAATTTCACCTTGGATAGGACAGTAATGTTTTTGAAAAGACTGCTATTAAGTTATGCCTTTCTGTACAGTCACAGAGATAAGTTAAGATTGCATTAGCAATATTTGCCTGCCTTTCATGTGCTTTGCTGAATAATCTCATTTAACTTGTTATTTGAACCTGGAAAGTTTGAGTTTACTTTAAAAAAGAACTAAAGCTACCCAAAATAGATTTGGCAGAACAGCCATTTGACAGAAGAATATAAACATGGTGAGTCTCCCTCTGCTTTCATCACTGGAAGCCGCGTCTGGCCCCTGGGAGGGGTGGTCCAAAGAAGAAACTCTGCCTCTGCAGTATGCTCTTCTTTGCACTTAAACTTGACAGGGCTTTCTGAGTAGGAAAGGGATGGAAGTTGCAAATTCAGTGTGTTTCCTGCACAAATACAGGTGTGAGTTAGCAGTGAATTCCAAATATCAACTTTTATTGAATTTAGACAGCACTGTAAAGGAGTATTTCATTAGAAGAGAATGTTCCCCCCCCCCCCCCCCCCCCCCCCCCCCCCGAAAATATGATAGAAACATCCACAAAGCCTTTCATAAAGAGACTTAAGGAAGACTTTCCAGATCTCTGGAATTGAATTTCACCTTTTGGCTTTCCCCCCTGCATTGTGGTAATTTCTCCACTGTCTCTGGCTGCAGTTGAGTTTTTCACTGACTCTAGTTAGAAGACTAGGCTAGTCCTTCTGCAATGAACCATTTCTCTGTGTATCTTTAGATGAGCTATCTCAGAAGAAAGCTCACTGGGATCAGAAAAGTCTGTAGAAAACACTGGTTTGACTCCTGAGATCTGAAATTGTTCTGTTTAAGCCTTGCTTAAGTAAATGTATGCCACTGACCTAAGTGGGTATTGGTCTAACCCCCAGAGGACCATTCAAAGTTCAGTAACGTAATTCTTGCTCTCCTCTGGTGCAGCTGAGAAAATTTGAATATAATTAAGATATCTATTTAGGGTTTAGGGCTGAAGAGCAGATGGACTTGGCTGTATGATTGCTAACACATTTCTGGGTTTGTAAAGAACCTTTTAATTTTTTTTTCTCTAGTGTTTTTTACCAAATGTGATTTGTAAATACCATTTCTCAAAGGTCCAATTGTAACAAAATGGATGCAAACTGCTAATATAATATTAAAGTGAATCACAGAATCACAGAATCCCAAGGGTTGGAAGGGACCTCAAAAGATCATCTAGTCCAACCCTCCTGCAAGAGCAGGGTAACCTAGAGTACATCACACAGGAACTTGTCCAGGCGGGCCTTGAATATCTCCAACGTAGGAGACTCCACAACCCCCCTGGGCAACCTGTTCCAGTGATCTGTCACTCTCACAGTAAAGAAATTTTTCCTGATGTTCACCTGGAACCTCCTATGCTCCAGAAACTACTGTTGAACTTTTTATGCTTACAAAAATGCATCCAGCATTTAGGATCCCCGACAGATTCTCCATTTCCATGTAATAGGGTCCTCTTGTACAGAAAGGAATCTAAGTTTCAATGACACTGTTTTCAGTAATATCACTGATGTTTAAAGAGCCCCAGAAGTGTTTTGTTGTACGTCGCTGAACATTTAAAATTCACAGAAAAGTGTTGAAAGTGTATATATAAAATTTCCTTTTTAAATATTTGAATATTAATATTATTAATAATAAAAAAAAACAGTATCTTCCAGTAGGATTGTGTAGGGCCAGATCACTCATTGATGCAGATGCACACAACCCTGCTGTCTCCACCTCTCCGGCTCACTGGGATCTTAGAGGCAGGGTTCCTATAGTCCCAGGTATTTCGCTGTTAATTGCAATAGCATTAGGGCTGGATCACTCTAAAGAGGTAACAAGTAGGTATGCTACCTCTTTGTATGTACAGTGCAGTGTATACCATTTTCTCCACATCAGTAAGGATGTTCAGAGCTTACTTTCTGTATATTGAAGAATATACTGTGATTGTTTCCTAAAATACATTCTTTACCTAGACTTCAGTCTCCCTGTCAAAGGTGCCAACCTGGTAGTGCTAGGAATAGATTTTGTTTTGTTAAAATAACTGATATTATCATCTTTACAAAGCCACTAACATGACAAGACCTTGTACTTCACTACTAATATTAAGTAGACTACATTAGCGGTATCTTAACTGGTACAGCCTGTACAGATGTAATACAATCTCCTTCCATACTATTTTATCACATTACTCTGGTTTCTAATCTTGCAAATATTCTCAAGAGGAATTACTCACATGCATAAAGTAACCTCATATTCTTTAATGTTTGCAGACTTGGGCCCCAGGTTACAATATCATTTATATTAAAATTGTTTCTGAGCATAAAAGGCTGCTAATTATTCCAGATTCTACATCTAGGATTGTATTTTGAAGGGAGAAATACATCTTATTTGTCTGATTTTATCTTTTCCTGTTTTCTTCTGGTCTGTTTTGTAGTTACACATATGGGGAGAGTGATGCACATGGGAAAATATTAAGGTAGTTTGGTGATAAAAGTATTCTCTGTGCTCAAAGACTAAAGAACTGCAACTGATTTGACATTTTACTCTTTTTGGCTAAAAAGAAAAAGCAATTCAATTCCTAATATGACTGACAAGCTATATTTTAGTGATCAGTACAGAATGAAATCTGAAACACATTAATTTGTTTGTATTTGCACATTTTAGAAACATGGAGTTTTAGTTTTCTTAAGTGTGCCTCCTTGTGTTTTACATTTCAGCCAAAGAACTGAGATTAAATTTGTGTAGGAAGGCAATAAAAGGGGTTTATGAGTACATGCAACTGCTACTTATTTTCAGCCTATGACAAAGTGAATTTCCATGGCAGCTTGTAAATTCATGAAATTTAGAACTTCAGGTAATACCAAAAGCAAAAAAAAAAATGATGGAAGAATCATTTCAAAGGCCTGGGAAAGCACGCCCAGCCACAAGTCCAGCTGCAAGACAGTGCAATTTGGCAATTGAGGTACTTCTGACACATTTTAATATGGGTTTATGCACTTCTGAACCTAAGTACTTTAATCAGAGTGCTAAGTTAGTGTTCACAGACCGGGATTGTGTTACCTAGGTCCTGTTTGTTCAGTGGTTTCAGCGATGCGTGCCCCATAGGTCTTAGCTTTGCAATTCAGTGAAAATACTTCTCCCTGGCCTGCTGAGGAACACCCATTTGAAGAGTCTTAGCATGAAAAAGCTTCAAAATCAGATTGCGATACCAGCAGTTGAGACACAACTTCCTGTAACAGCAAGAAAAATAAATTACTACAACCTTTGTAAAAAACAAAAAATAAATCTCTACTATCTCTCGCTCATGTCAAACACATTAGAACCAATGATTTGTAATAGATGGGAAGAAAGGCAGCTGAGATGATTAGGTGAAAGGGAGAGGCTAAGTTACAAGGAAGGGTGAGGAAGGATTACTTTTTTGAGTATCATGGGGAATATATGCTCGGGATTGAAAGAGTGCAACAGAAATAGATTACAACAAATAGATACAGGAAATGTGATTCTGAAGAAGCTTTGAAGCTGAATTTGCCTTTCTCCTTGCAAGACAGTAGAGAAAGTTGTTTCCATCAGAAAATGTAAGCCCACATTCTCCTTGTACTGTTTATTGTCAAGCACACCTGCTTTCTAAGCTGCATAAGCCTCCAGCAGGTAGATCCTCAGGATTGGTGTCTGCATTTTAACTCTACTTTTTATGATTTTACAGCCTCGTATACTGCCAGGACAACATTTAGTCCCAGCGTCCTCAAGCAAGTTTCCATCACTTCCTCTAAGAAGCTCTTCTAGCAGCTTTCCAACAACCAAGAATTACCTTCATCCACAAGTAGTTTGGCTTTACTACATGAAAAAATACAGAATCATAGAATGGTTTGGGTTGTAAAGAATATTAAGCTCATCTAGTTGTACGGACACCTTACCCTAGACCATGTTGCCCAAGGCTCTGTCCAACCTGGCCTTCAACACTGCCAGGGATGGGGCATTTACCCCTTCTTTGGGCAACCTGTTCTAGTGCCTCACCACCCTCACAGTAAAATACTTCTTCCCAATATCTAACCTGAACTTCCCCTGTTTAAGTTTTAACCCATTACCCCTTGTCCTATCACTACAGTCCTTGATGAAGAGTCCCTCCCCAGCATCCCTGTAGGCCCCCTTCAGATACTGGAAGGCTGCTATGAGGTCTCCACACAGCCTTCTCTTCTCCAGGCTGAACAGCCACAACTTTCTCAACCTGTCTTCATACAGGAAGTACTCCAGTCCCCTGATATCTTTGTGGTTTCTGGACTTGCTCCAGCAGCTCTATGTCCTTCTTATGTTGAGGACACCAGAACTGTACACAGTGCTCCAAGTGGAGTCTCACCAGAGTGTAGTAGAGGGGCAGGGTCACCTCCTTTGACTTGCCAAAAATCAGTAGATGAACTGATCTGGAACCCTGAATGGATCTCAGACTTTAAAACATCCCTAAGATTGTGTTAGCAAACACACAAAACCCACTGAATTTATACATACAACCCCTGATAAGATCCAGGCTTTATCCTCTCTACTTAGGTGCTGAGCATTTTATGATGACAAACCTTAACATAAGAATAAAATAAAATCAGATAAAATACAAGAAAACCATCTCTCAGTTATGCAGGGAGCACTCTAAGTAGCTTTCATCTCTTTCCTGTGCTCCTAGTAATTTATGGTGGTTCAAAATAAGTACAGCCAGCTCCCATCCTCTGGAGTGCAAACACACCGCCTCTTCTCCACACCCTGTCATTTCTGTTTACCAAGAAATAGAAGATTATTTTGCACTGAACTACTCTAGAAAAACACCAGAGAGAACACTAAAATTTGAGGCCAGCTAGGCTTGTCCAATTGCTGCTAGTTTTCCTCCCCAGCTCAAAGAGCTGCATCATTAAAAATAATGCATGCTATTAAAGGACAGCATAGATTTTGGAGCATGAAGGGTTTTTAAATGACAGCATTCATCTGGAGACAATACATTCTGAGACTCATTCAGTTTTTCTCATTTTATAATACAACCTAGTCAGAACCTGACCTATGAACCATCTTGCCAAATTGGCAAGAATTTTTCAGTTGAGACACATTTTGTTTATCCATTGAGTCTTCCTCTGTTATCCAGGTGGGAATCTCATGAAGACAAAAGCCTGCTTCCTATTTATGTTATGCTTGTCAGAAAGTGCTTAGGAAGCTCACAGGGACTCCAGTGGAGTGGATGTGAGAAGTCATGCTTTTCTGCAGATGGCTTGCAGTGTCCAAAGAGACCTCTCTCAAAAGCATTTCTCCTCCTGAGGAGAACTCCTCAGAAGAAGTTTTTCATTAAAAAGATTTTAGTAATACTCAGTAGCATTGTGCTTTGGATTATGGTGTAGATGAGTTGATGCTATGGAGAGTCTAGCTTAAAAGAAAAAAGGAAAAGGCAAGTTAGCTGGCAGAGCAAAGAAATTTTAATAATAGGCAGAATGAGGACGGGGAGATTTATTGTTTTATCTTTGTTCCCATAGGGAAAATCCACTCTTTTTAAAGTGAGCACATATTTTTATCATTAAAACTCACCACACTTAGATGATTCTCTAAGTCTCATCTAACACCTAGTGAAATGTCCCATCTATGCAGGCATACCAGTCCTCAGACTCACCATAAACAGGTTACCATATGTCATTCTATGATTACCTTGAGGTGACTGTATTCCTATGCATCAAAACCAGAAGTATATTATGGTGTGGGTGATGGGTAAATCTGAGAGGAATAAGTGTCCAAGTGTCTAAGTGGAATAAAGTGACTGGATTTACCAACTCCCTGGCATGTGGTAAGGCAGTATGGAGCCTGACTCAGCTTCAGAATACTCAGTGGTACACTTTATCTTGGTTTGCGTCCTCCTGTTCCCAAAACAACTGGAGCAAATCCCTTCTGCTCTGAGAACTGTGAAGAGCACCCTACCAAAGCCTGAAGTCCAAGATACTCTTCCTCACTTATAAAATGTGCTGGTAGCCGAGAACCACGAGAAGTCCTAGTCCAAGCTACCACTCACAAGTCCAGGCAGTAGTATGCAGATTTCTATAGCTATAATTTTTTTTCAGAGTTACAGAAGACATTTCAGACATCAAGAGAAGGATTAAAAGTTTGTGGTGCTTCGAGTGTAAAGTATTTTCTAGAAGAGGGAAAACTAGAAAAACCAGACCCTGTCTCTGGCACTCCAACAAGAGTCTGATGTGTTCAGACGTGAATGCAAGGGAGCAGGCTTGGTTGGAAAAATTGGTATTTAATTTAAATAAAACCAAACAAAAAAGGCTTGGCACTTACTTTCATTTACATCAAGATGAAACCAAGATGCTTAAAATTTTTAACAATAAGCCAGAATGAGAGAAAGAGGCTCCAGAATACCTAGGAAATTTGTGGCTAGGAAGCTCCCCAGGAGATGGGGTACAAGCAGGGATTCAAACCCATGTGTGTTACATCTAAGGTCAGCTCACTAGTCATGGGGCTAGAGTATTTTCCAAGGCTTTTCTACCATCCATTGCCTTTTGCAATCTGTCCCTATTCCTTTAAATGCTTGGTTTTGTTGCACTGCAGATTGTAACCGATTAGAAGAATCACAGATTCTTTTTCTTCCTTTTTTTTTTGTTTGTTTGTTGAAAATAACTGCAGTCTTTGGCTCAATGTATATTGATATATGTATGCAGAATTAAGTAGATCCATTCAAAGAAAGTAAGGATATAATTAGTTACAGAATTGTATAATGCCTGTAGCCCCACCTATTTCTAGTTAAAAATTAGAGTCATAAGCTACCTCTTCCCATGTGAATAAAGTAATCGTAAGGATATTGCCTGTTCTATAACTGCTCCATCGTTTCCCCTCTTTCACGTACCTCTTGTTTTGACTAGAAATTCTTTCTTGAGCCCAGCAACTTAGTGGTAAACATTTCTAAGGAGCCTACTCCAAATTTAATCAATAATGCGCTTGATCAATCAACTTCCAAGCTGAAAAACATCACCACCTCAGAAAAAGCCAGTAAGTATTTATGTTCTTTTTCTTATTTACATGAAGTTGATCTACCATTTCTGGCTAGACCCAAGATACACACCTACCAAAGCTTTTTCCACACTATTTCTCATTTAAAGGAAAAATACATTTGGTAAGCCAGTGAGTTAAAACAGACCAGCTGCATACAAAAGTACAAAACCAAAACAGATCCACAGGTGCAAAGGAAAGAGTTCAGTTCTGTATGGGGCACTGCTAAAAAGCCAATGGATCGAATTGAGACAAAAGACTGAGGCATTCTGAGGAAGTGTCAGGTGCGTATTATTATGGGCTTAAAAAACAAAGTGATTTCTTACAGCTAAGGAAGGAGCAGCATGCTGAGCTTGCTGAGAATGCTCAGCAAGAAGAGCCCTCTTTCCTCCTGCCATGTATTGTGTGCTGGGGTAGGGGAGGTGATGACCCATTGCTTGTTTTGATATCACTTCTTATTGCTGTTTATGCAGTAGTGCATTTGTGGGCGTGCAGCACAATTGTATTCTCTGCATTTCTGTTGACAACAGTTCTTTAAGGGCCTGATTTCCCAGGTCTTTGAAAGCTGGGCGCGGCAGACGTGGAGTTCTATTGCTCATGGGTTCAGGTGAGGTGTGATGTGAACTCACACATGGGTGTTCCCCAGGGGCAGGGCACCCAAAATCCAGACCTGCAAAGCAAGGGCACCTTTTGACTCAGTTCATTGTTTGAAGGGTCTGGAAATGCTGCTCATGTTGGGAGGCTGTGTTTAGTTTTCAGAGCAGGGTTTTGTAATCCAGTTTGCATTTAGAGTAACAGTTGAAGTCCCTCATATGCCTTTGTGTATTCAAATGGACATTTCTTGGCTATTTTTTCTGCACATGCCATTTCACACTGAGCACAGCCAGGCGCGATTTCTTGCTCAGCCCAGAGCCTGGCTGTGTGAGGTTGAAGAAATCTGTACTAAAACTGTCTCTAACTGATTTCCATAAGCCTTCTTGGTGCTTTTCTCCACCTAAGCTTGACAGTCAGCTAGTCTGACACTTCTAATTTCTCAAAACGTGCTTTTTCCCCCTTGCAAGACTCTGCTACCTGGCTTCTGTGTGGCAATTAAGATCTCTTTTGTTTTTAGTATCTATAACATTATGCTATTCCAAAACCACAGGTAAGAGATACTAGCTAAAACTCTGACTATTTCTGTCCACAGTAGTAAAAGTCAGGATCTAGTGATGCACATTTATGTAATAAAATGGATTCTGAAGTAACTTTGGCTGCTGTAGTTTTGAAGCAACAGCTTAACAGAAGTTCTCAAAGCACAATTTAATTTCCACATACCATTAGCATTTCATGTTTCCTGATGAGGATAGCTGAGAATATCCGCTGTTCATGCCTGAATATATTAGTATTTCAGAAGGGAATATGAAAAAAATAACATATAGCTGAAGGGATACTAAAGATTGTGTTTAAATACCTGAGCTGAGATGAAAATTAGCCATTATCGGGTTTAAAAAAACAAGTAATTTCCACGTTGGTGGAAATCGGGGTGATGCTAATGTTACTCAATGAAAGACATATATAGTGCAGTAAATAAAGTAAATTAAGAAAATAATCAGGACTTGTTGGATAGCTGCATTCCTAGTTCTCTTTTAAGATAAACTTTTCTAGTCTTTCCATGTTACCTTCCCCACGTTAGTAACAAGACCCCACTGAGATGGATTTAGCTATTTTGGCTTTGAGGAGCTTCTCCTTTCCTGCTTCCCTGCCCTGGGCCAAAGCACAGCTGTGGTGACAGATGCCTGTGCCTGCATGTGTCAGGCAAGGGCTCCCACATGCTTCCAAAGCATACTT